CAATTTCCAAAATCTGAAGATAAAAAAATCACCAAAGAGCAGGCGCAGAATGAAGATTAGCCTAGAAGTTCAGAAGCCAGAATGTCTGCGAAGTTTCTTCTCAATGTCTATGTGCTGCAAGCAAATTTATCACTTTTATCTGTTACAAATAAATAATAAAAATTAAAGAATTTTCGAATTCAGGATGCACACATTACCAGGAGATGCTCTGGTACTTTTTTGAACAAATACAGTTTCTTCAAGTGACAACTGTCTTATTTGCTTTGACCAATGCTACCTCACCGGATGGTCAGTTTACTTCGATCCTGAGCTCACTTCTTCTCCCAGTAGCTTCAGCCGTTTCGAGATATCAACCGGTAGTTTCAGCTTGAGGGCCGGAGAAGCTAGAAAGCTGATATTTTAGTAGAATGTCCCTCGCCCAGTGCGATCCGCAAACTTGAATTCAACCTTCGCTTACCCCGGATACCACGTAGGACCCCACAAAATTTTTGGCGGGAGAATTATTATTCCGGGAATCATCGAAGTTGCAAAGCCGAAATTTAAGGATTTTGTTCTCCAACCAACAAGCACGATTAAACAAATAGCACTCGGATAACGTACACGATGCCTTACAAATATGTATCCTACTTCAAAAACTGCCCATATATATTGGGTGAACATAAAAATTACATAAAATGTGGACTCTCACAATGACGCACCGGTAAATTCTTACAATAACGAACGGTATACTTTGAAAGCCCACCGGCAAGACGTGAGGTTATCTTGTAAACTTGCAACAAGATTACATGGAAAACTTTTATGTACAGTACTTGTACTTTGAGACATTAGGTCCTTGCTGCACGTGTATGTGGCATGTGTGTATGTATATTTGTATGTATGTGCGTGTATTTGCACGTATGTGTACGTGTATGTGTGTATATGTGTATATATGTGTGTACTTATGCGTATGTGTGTTTGTCTGTGCGATCGGTACCAGTACCTCGTCCCAAAGGTTGCGATTTCCAGACGACGATGAGGGAGCAACCGATTATGAGGCGAAAATGCATAAAAATACAAATTTTTAAAAAATTTACGCAAAATTTTTTTGCTAATTTGCCTCGAATTTGATTAATCGCTGCCGCTTCTATATAAGCAAAGTGATGAACGAGGAAGGGTCACTTTTGTTATAGTTTGTCGAGACGAGCGGTCACCAGAAACTGGTCAAAAATGGCAGCCACTTGGCTCACAAATCTCATTGCTCTTCCTTTCTACAACTTGTCGGTGTTCTTAACGCCGTTCGTGGTCTGTATGCTTATCTGCTGCAAGCGCCATCGAACGTCAAAGGTAGAGTGCTGCATGCTTTACACAAGGGTCTCACGTGGAGATTAAAACAAATCTGCACTTGTCCGATTCCCAAAATAGGCAGTCTGCTACAAATATATTCGAAGTGCCCTAAGGCGTAGCGTGAACACAATTCGGGATCTCGATTTCCCAGACGGATAATAATAATAACTCAAAGCTGTCATTTTTCTGACAAATATAAATATACTTTTGCACTTTTCTGACAAATATACTTTTGCACCTTTTTACACTGAAATTATCTACATTGCCCAGAAAAACTGCTGCGAAGGTCTAATGAAGTGTTCGGATGTCGAGGCAGTTACTAATGAAGCACGCGGATGCTGGGGCAGTTATGCCAGGCCCTTCGAACTGAGGCACAAGTCTAGAGGTCACTGGAACGGTATGCATGAAATCTAGCCACGATATCCCATAATCACTCCTGAAAATGGTGGAATTTTGGGTAGTAATGAATCGATCCAACTCCCAGTGAATCTTAACTAATGAACCGATAATTTAAGAAAGAGGTTAAAAATTTCTCGAAAATGCGGTAAATTTTAGCGGAAATGGCTGTAAAAACAGCTGGAAAAGTTGACCCATAATGTGCGACTTCGTGAGGAAAAACAAATTTGAAGTGATTTGTGGTTCTTCATTTTCAGTGACCGCAAATGAGTTAACGCTCTGTCAAAGCCTCGTCCATATTCACTCTCTACGAAAGGCGGAGGGATCGGAAATAGCTGGAAAAGTGAAAACTTCCGTGAAAGGCCCAAAAAATGTAAAATTCAAATTC